TGAGGTAAGTTCTGCTTCCCACACCTTCCTTGCTTCAACTCCTTTGCTCTTCAAGCTTTTCCCTCCTAGTCAACCTTCTTTCCAAGGCTTAAATCACACCAAGAAGAGTACCACACGAATTAGGGTTTCACTGAGCTCTCAAAGACTGTAAAGAGGCCAAAGGAGGCTGAGGCTTCTTTAAATAGGGTGCAAAACCCCGGGATTTAGGGTTTCATCTGCCAGCTCCTACTCGTCGAGTCCCTTCTTGGACTCAGCGAGTAGGTCACTAAACACGCGATCCCACCCGCTGATACTCGACGAGTGGGGCAACCAACTCGTTGAGTAGGACTTAAAACCAAATAACCTTTTATTTAAATCCATACCTGAGAATCGGGGCGTTACAATAGGAATCAATGTATAGTTAGAAACGCCACTCTTCTAAATAATAAACTCTCACGAAATCGACGCGCACCCCGCACTTATTAAAAATCGTGGGTCTTGATTATAAACTTCAAATCCTCACACGGCTTTCTCTCTCGTGACAAATCAGCATTTGACCCCATTTGTTGAAATTTCTGAAAGCATCCGAAGGGCAAAAATTCAAAAAAACTAAAAAGAATATCACGATCACTCGTCTTCTTAGAAATCAAACTACAATTGTTGATTAAATCCCTTGCATGCAAGAGGTGGTTTGTGAAAACAAAAACTTTCAGGACCTGTCAGACTATTTCCTTTGTTTTCTTTGAACCATTAATTAATAAGTAGAATAATAGTTGACCTAACTAGTAGGGAGTAGCAAGAGTTCGGTCTTCCACTTAACCACCACGATACGCCTTGCTATAATACGTCTTGTGGATTGAGTTGGACAAATCACCAAAGTAGTAGACTAAACAAGTCAAGAATTCCCTAATCGCTTGCAATCTCGAAACCCATGCAAAAAGTAAAACCAATAAATGCGTATGATCACGAATTCCTGCACATAACAACAAAAACTTTCCCGGCAAGTAACATGATATCAACGAAAATAAAAATAAAAATAAAATCAAACAAATAACGAATAATCAAACAAAATAAATTAATTGAAAACCGTTCCCCGGCAACGGCGCCAAAAACTTGATGTGAATATTAAATGCACTAGGTTTTTTATTTATAATTCCTAATTTATCGCATCTAAACCACACCTTTCAGGCAGTGAACCTGATCGAGTATAGTATAGTTTTGATAAGCAATGGTGTCGAACTCAATGGGAACGGTAGTGAATTAATTTAAAATGTTTGATTATAGGTTATATAAAAACGCTCAAAAGTAATTAAATCTCGACCAAACAGTTAAATAGTAAATCTCGATAAACTAACAGAAAACAAATTTCTTTAGGTACTTTGGTTTAGACAGATTACATCCTAAAATCATAGATAATTGCACACATAGATTTGTTTATTCATGTTCACCGATTTCTAAAATGATTATGTTCATGTTCACTATTACTAATCATTTAGCAAACAAGTCAATTCAAACAGTGATCAATTAATTAAACTAACATGTTTCCTAGTGTTCAGTTCGTATCAAGACTTATTAAAATGTAATGTTCAATTGTTAATATTAATTTTTGTTTCTCTTTTAAATTTAAACAAATCTTATAAATAAATAAACAAATGAAATACTTGGATTAAATTTAGAAACTTAGAAATTAAAAGGAAACTTGCATTAATTAAATTGATATGTATTTATTATTAAATTTATTCCAATTTATATTTAAATATTATGTGAAATTTAATAAAATGGAAAAAACCATAAAATGACAAGTGGAAAAAACAATAAATCAAAAATCTTAGAAAATGACATGTGTCAAACGCAATGAGAATATGATATTTGCAAAAATAATTTTCATTTATTAGGATAGATTTGTCAAGGATGTTCCACAAAATAAGCAAAATTTAAAAAATGATCATAAGAACAACAATTTTCGTAGACATTATCTGTTATAATCTTGATGGCCTGTGATTATTTATTTATTTTGAGATTTTCATAGGTTACACCTACCAAAATCTAGATCGTAGATTACACATGAGAAAATCTAGATGGCATGTGGAATTTATTTTTTTAGAAATTACAGTCAACACTTATGAAAATGTAGGTGGCCTGTGATTTATTTAATTATTTTTGAGATTTTTGCAGTTCATCGTTGTGATTGATATAACTTAAGTGGTGTGATGATTGTTATAAAGTTCGTATTCGAAAATTATTAAGTTTTATACATAATTTTCACCAAATAGCTTACTATGAGCTAAAAAGTATAACTTTCTGGCATCCAAGTTAGGAGTGTAATATGACTATGATAACTCTTGTTACAAAGAACACAATGAAAAAAAAATCAACTCAAACAAAGTTTGTATGCATAATTTATGATGGATCAAAGTTTCTTTTTTTTTTCTTATATTTTTCATCGAATAACCTACTTTGGAGTTAACAGAAGTATGACTTTCCAACATCTAAATTTGGAGTGTAACACGTCAATGAAAGACCTTATTACAAAGAACACAATTAAAAAAAATTCAGCTCAAACACAGTTTGTATGAAAAAAGTTATGGAGGTTCGAAGTTAGAAAAAAAAATCTCATGCACCCCTGAAATCATGACTATTTTTTGCATTTATGAATTTTTTGGCTGTTTTATCTTTTGAAAGTTGGGTATTATGTCGTTTTCTCTTTTTACAAAGCAAAATGGGAATAACCCAATTTTTGCAAAAATTATAATAATAATAGTAATAATAAAAATAAAAAACTCTGTTAATGTATAGAGAAATTGAAAAAGAGTTTGAACTCTATAAACTAAATGCTTTTAAGTTTTAATAGGCAAAAGGTTAAATGGACCAGTGAGATCCTACACTTCGCATGAAGGAAGCTGCAGCCTATTCAAACTAGCTGCATCATGTTCAAACTAAAGTTACTTGATAGTAAGTTTACATTTGAGAGCAAATTGAATAAGCTTCTCCATCTCCCCCTCACTAATATACCCATCTTCATTATCATCAGCTTGCAGCATTGCACGATCTGTAGTCCAGGATACCCAACTCACACCAAGATCAATAAAAGCTTGTTTCAGCTCATCCCATGAAAGCCGGTTGTCTTTGTTGACATCATGTCGTTTGAAGAAAGCTAGCAATTCTTGTTCGTTGAGTTTCATGGGTAATTTCTGAAAACGCATCTCTGTTCTTTGACATATGTACAGAAATGGCCTTCGCATACTTAGTTTCCTTGTATTGAACGTTTCTAGTTGTTTAATGTATATGATGAATGATGAACGTAGGTATATGTGCAATAATTTTATAGTACTTCTCCAGTATACAAGTGTCTATTATGCATTATTCTAACCTAACTTTTCAAGAGGGTATCTAATACCCAGCCTCTTGGAAGAAAATGATAGGTTCTATGTGGTTATAACTTATAATTAATACTCTTCAGGAATTCGGTATTTGTGTTATCGTGTATGGCATTATCAATGACTTATGTACGTTGTTTTGTTGCAAGCTAACCATTATACTTGTTCAAATGCTAAAGCAACTTTGAAATACGATAGAGCAATCAATTCTATCCATCATGTTTGTATTTTTGTTACAAGATAATTAACCATTGCAAATTGCCCAACTTAATATCTTATTTTAGCGTTTTGTTGCTCGTTTTGAAATTTAACAATTATGTGGTTAATTAATTTGAAACAAAACTATAAATGATACAAGAATTCAATGACTCGTTATCAGACCTTCCAATAATCTTATAGTGAATCTTTTTTTCAAATTTATGTCACAGTGAGAAGCTTTTTGAAGCATATATATTGTTTTCAAAGATGCTGCATTGAATAAGAAGATAAGGAGGCATCCAACATATGATAGTTACAAAGATAAGAAGGCACCCAACATATTTGGTTGTTAAAGATACGTCTTCAAAGGATTCTATACTAAATAAGAAGATAAGAAGGCATCAAATATATGGTAGTTAAATTAGATTAACCCTTCAAGTGGCTACCCTAAAAAGCATTAAAGGGGATATTTATGTTGGGGTTTATTTTGTAAATAATAATAGCTTATTGCTTTAAGATTCCCTTTTCTTTTATAATTTCTTAAAAGCCAACATCTTTGTTAGTGTAGAATAGCTAGATGTTACGACACTACTAAAAATAGAAATTCATATATCAACGATTAATGTATATGTCATTGAATTCCATTACCGACCTAGCCATATGCCATCCCAGGGGAAATCTCTAGGCACGATCTATGCGAGAGATTCATATGTTCCGGTTTGAACAATTTAGTTGGGCCCTAGTCAGACCAAGCATGGGTAGAGATGCACAAACCCAGGATTCGGTCCGGTGAACAATCTGATCCGGTCAACAATCCGATCCGGATCCAGTCAAAATCCGATCCGAATCTGGTCAACAATCCGAATCTGATTTGAAACCAGTTTGATCCGGATTTTGTTAGCTTTTACCAGATTTTTCGACGATTTAAGAACCGGTTTTTGTAGAATCCAGCTTGTGATCCGGGGGTAAATCCGATTTTGAGTCCGAAAAGTCAAACCGGTTTGAATCCAGTCACCGGTTTAATCCGATCCGGTTTGGTCAAAACCGGTTTTTGGATTGGATCAGTTTCATTTCGATGATCCGTTTTTTGTGTGCACCTCTAAGCATGGGGCTAGGAATGGAGTAAACATGTTGGACAGACAAATAGTTGTCTGACTAGAGTACCATAAAGAAATGAAGAGAAAAGAAAAGAAAGTAATGAGAGAAAAGAAGAGAAAAGAAAGGAAAACAAAATTTTCATTTGTGCTCCCGAGTTGGAAAGAAATGGGAGGAAAGTTAAACATTTTGTTCTTTCTTTTCAAATCCTCCTAAATCGGAAGGAAAGTTAGGAGAGAAAGTTTTCCTTCCATTTCCTTCCACTTCCTTCCTTTAATGAAACTCGGGAGCACCAATCTCTCTTACCTTCCTCTCATTTCCGCCCATTTCCTTTCTTTTCTCTCTTTAAGTTGAACTCGGGAGCAGGGTGTAAGAGTTGTATAATGACACAATTAGTAATCGTTTACTACTTGTTGAATCTATCATCGTACATATGACCAACATAACTTAACTGTACTCATTAAGTGTGGATCATAGCCTTTATTAAATTGAGTTTTATAACAAACACAAGAATAATCAATTTATTAAGGTTTTTAATATTGAAAAATACTAAAATTTAACTTTTTTTTAACTTCTTTTGTAGATGGCTACTACTTCCGTAAACTTGTCCCTTCTATATCCCCTTGAGAAGGACAAGATCGATGGTGCAAACTTCGCCTTCTAGTATGCTAACTTGAGGATAGTCCTCAAATACGAAAGAGGTTGCACGTCATTGGAAGCCCTCTCCTAGATGCACCTTCTTATGACTCGTCTACTTCATATCATAATGAAGGATTCATAAGATTCATTGGACGTATTGAGATAACATCCTTTATGCTCTCATGTAAGACCTATGACCTCCAGAAGGTTCATGAGAATCAAGGGACATGTGATATGATTAAAAACTTAAAGATCATGTTTCAATAAGTTAATAATGGTCGTTTGTAAGTCACAAACAAGTCGTGGTATACATATCGGAGGAGCAACAACTAATTGATACCTTTCATTTTCAAGTGAAGAAACTAGTTGATCGAGTGAGAATCATGTAGGATCTCTAACTGTCCTTGAGTTGACAGATATACTTGAATTTGAAATGATTTTTGACATTGATGTTTAGAAGCCTCACATAGATGGATGGAAAGAATTATTGGACACATATGAAAGACTATTAACTCATCAAAATAAAAGAGTAGTACATTAGAAAGAAACCACATGGCATGCGAAGAGGAAAAAACAAGGCAATTTCCAATAGACTTCCTCTCACCATGGCAAGAAGGAACACCCTTTATAGGATGTTGGTTGCTTCCAGTGTGGCAAGAATAGTCATTATAAGAGGATTTATACAACTAAATACTTATGTTTAATTTTCACAACATTATAATATAATAGGTATAATCTGTATAAAGTTATATAAAAGGAGCTGCGAAAAAAATGGTTGCAAGAAGATTTGAACTTGCAACCTCTAGAAACATCACCTAACATCTTAACCATCTAAACCAACTACATCTTGTGTTATTATCTTATTAAACATATTAATATTATGTATATATACATTACATAAAACGAAATTTTTCTAAAAAAAATATAGTACCGAAATTTTTTTGAGGGGTATCCCGGGATCTATTGTGGATCCGCCCATGGGAGCGACTAGCTCTTGGATGCATGTCCCTCTTGTAATGATCTAAATGAAATGTATTCGCTCATAATGTTTCAAAACATAAATATATTTGTAATAATGATATTAGATAATATATAAATAATAATAAGCTAATAACTGTAATCAATCATCATATTATTCTAGGTACATAAAACTAAGTCTTAAATCTTATATGAATCGAGTCTTCGATCGGGATGCCTTAATTAGTTAATTTTCTCGACTCTCGGGCTAGACCTTAACGTGTCTCTGAATAACTACTCATGAGTTGGGCCCTTTGAACTAAGTTTTTGTTTATAAATGCTCAAAACTGGGCCTCACATCGATATCAAACAAAAGGTGCACTAGACCTTAATCGGTCTATGCATAATGGGTCCATGTGGGTCGAGCCTCTTAAACAGAAAAAAATAAATAAATAAATAAATATCACCAAAAATATTTATTTAACAATTTCTTTACTCTAATCAAGTAGCTATTTATAAATAGCCTTGTGGAAGCACTCCCCTGAATAACCCAATTTCAAATCTCATCCAAGGCACGTAGGGGTCGGCTATGAGTGGGCCAGTGGGCTGGACATGTTTTTAAGGCGCGTACTTTTTAATAATTTCTCTATTCCAATCAAACAAAATATTTATCAAAAAATATTCTAACTTCAATAGATATTTATTTACGTATTGATATGTATAAATAAATATAAAACATATTGATATATGTATAAGTGAAATATTTTTATTAGAATATATTTTTGACAAAACTGCAAAAATGGTCCCTGTGATATGCAGTTTTTTGGGTTTTAGTCCAAACTACAACTTTTTTTGATTGGTGGTCATTTGGGTCATGTTTGTATGTAGATTTGGTCCCTCGTAAAAATGAAATGACTATAATACTCTTCTGATATATTTTTTTATTTTTTTTCTATTTAATTTAAATGAAAAACAAATAATTAATTAATTTGGGTCTCTCTCTCTCTCTCTCTCTCTCTCTCTCTCTCTCTCTCTCTCTCTCTCTCTCT